TCATGGGGAGCCAGACCCATGGCACCTGCCCTGTGTGGCTCCCGTGCTCTGTCACTGCTGGCTTTCCTGCAGTGATGATGGTGGCAGGCGGCATTTGCTCCATGAAACACCTTGTGGATTTGACTGTTTCACAGACTTTGAAAGTTGCTAGTATTTCATTTACCAGGGACTAACAAAAAAAGCTTGTTGGTATCAAGTGAAAACGCATTTAATTCAGTACTTCTCTTGCAGTCTAAATCTCACCATACCTCTAATTTTAACTGTAGGCTGAATAATTTTCATCCTACTGCTTTAAAATCAGGGCTGTTCTGCTATTTGGGAAGTACAGTGCTTTTTCTCTCTCTTAGATCTGTCCTGCCAAGCTTCTATTGCTCGGTGCTCTTGGATGTAAAAATAACATACAGCCAAGGCTTATTTGCAGAGTTAGTTTTATTACTGTAAGCAAAATTGAAGCATAAAGGATGCCAGCATGCATTATGCAGATTGATTTATAAAAAAAATATTAAATGCGAAGTGTTAGTCCCAGTGAAATATTTAACCTTGTTCTGATATAATTCTTCAGGGCACAGCTTGCACTGTGTGTGCAGTACAATCATTTCTCTATACATTTCTCTGGGTTTTGTTCCTCTGTGGCTTGCTGGTTTCTTATCTGCCAAGCCTTCTGCTGAAGCTGCAGTGGTTAATGTTTGTCTAAGTAAAACACTATCTTATTCCCTGTTCTTTAAACTACCTGATTTGTTTTACACAAGTCCCAATATTTCCATTTGAGATAGAGTCTTGGCATGACAGATCCAGGTGTAATAGTTGTAGCCTGGCAGTGCTATAAACCATGGAGACAGCTGTGAGGTGAAGCCCTGAAGCAGGTAGGGCTGTTCCAAACACTGCATCTGCAACACCCTTGTGCATGTGGGGAGAGAGAGCAGAAACACCAGGGAAGCACCACGGTATGCGTGTGATTGTAGCGCATCAGAAACATTGCTCCCCTGGGTTCCTGGCTTAGGATGAGCATGGCAACACTAGAAAAACACTGAAAGTGGCACGAATCCAAGACTGAGCAAACTTGGTCTGTTTATGTACAAGATCTGGGTTGATCTAATTTTGCATTTAGAGTTTGGCTTCTTCACATGAATTTGAATTGTAAAGCAGTGACTGATACTTATTTATTTTTATTTTGAGTTAATCTGAATCTGCATCTCTGCAACAACTTGTGTCTTTGGCGACGCTGTGCTGTACGCTTCTGTAACAGAAGTGTATAGAAATACATTACACAACTGATGTAGAGTTGTTTCACCTCTCAGTAAGGAGAAAGTGTCAGTGCTGCCATTCCACCTGGAAGTGGAACCACAAAACCCATCCTGCCCTGCTGTGGGGCTGTGCTGCCAGAGAGAGGGCGTTGGAAGCAGTGAGCCTCCCTGGGTCTCCGCGGAGCAGGGGGATGTTCCTCCCAGCTGGCACATGTTCCGCTTGCTAATGGTATGTGTGGACTTTGGCCCACATCATCTTTCCTTGTGAAGCTTTGCTTTATTTCCACTATCAAAAAGGCAGAACAGATCTCTGCTCGCTCTCAAGTGTCAAAAAGGCAGAACAGATCTCTGCTCGCTCTCAAGTGTGAGTCAGTTTGCAAACCACAAACCTCCAATTTGCCAGGCTAGTTCTGGAGAACCTCAGCAGTAGTCCCTGCTTATAGAGACAGGCCAGCAGCTGTCAGCCATGTGATGTTTTACGTAAGAAAAGATGACTTGGTTTTAGTTGGCTTTGTCTATCTATTTTCTACCTTTGAGTAGTTTCAACCCCAGTTTACCAGTCTGCTAGGTCAAAGTGAAGCACCTTTCAGTCAGCTGTTTGCCCTGATCAGCCTGACATCAGCAGGACTAGCGGCAGTGATTTGTGGTGATTATTTGTGCTTCCAGAAGCTGTGGGATCTCCCCAAAGATCAGCACTGTGGGATGCAGCACTAGACAAACACAAAGCAGGCATGTGGGCAACAGGAGGTGTCTGTGCATGGGTGGTTTGTTCACTGAGTGCAAGGCTGTGCTGATCAGACTTGTCCTGCAGCAGCTGCATCATCTGGTTGTGCCTTTCTGTCATCAACAAGCAGCTGTTGGCCACAGAAGCAGGCTGTGCTTCATAGCCAGCTCCCTAAAAGCTGCCACCTGAAAAGCTAGTTGTGTATTTGTAGCCATAGACTTACCTGCTGTTGAAAAAAACCATGTGTACAAATGTATGCTCACACAGCTAGGCAGACACAAGTGTCCGTGTTAGTTTGTCTGCTGCCCTAGTGACTACTGCCCTGTTCACCCTATATTGCCCACAGAGCACTTCCAACTCTTGCAAACAGCGGTGGAGCATAGAGCAGCGTTGACTAATGTCACTTGTCATGTGCTTCTGAAGGACAAGATGGGGCTCAGAGTTTGGAATACACTTAAAACGATATCTTTGCCTGAATTCCTCCATGGCTTCAGCACAACAATAGAAACATCTTAGCAGAAACACCTCATCCTATATTGAAGATAAATTTAAGAAAAATGTAGACTACAATGAAGGATCACTTAAAAATATTAAAAAGAAAACAAAGATGGATTCAGTGAATAGTCTGTGTCAGAGCAGGGTTTCAAATAAGTGTTCCCTTTGTGCACCACCTCAGCCTGGGTAAGGTACAGAGTTTATTCAAATTGAGTTAATTGGGTAACTGATTTGTCAGAGAGGCTGTCCAATAACAGGGTGTTTGGTGACTGATCCAGGGGTGAGATGAGAAGAGGTGTGGCTGTTCAAGGGCAGAGGGGAGACAGTCACTGACAAGTGCTCAGTGGGATTAACATGGTAAATGAAGAGCAAACTGCAAGTGATTATTGGCATTCAAAAGCAGTTAATCTGGTCACTTGGAAAGTGCCAGTTTGCATCCTTGCCTTCTGAAGTGGTTCATTCTCCTGTCTGTAAAATGGTAATGACAGTCCTTGCTCAGCAGCCTTGCTATGCCATGTGTTAGCAGTCATGGCTAATGTCACTGTTTGAAGTGACTTGTCGCTGTTGCTTTCCTTGGAATTGCACTATTTCTGCTCAGCAAAGGTACAGCTAACCTAAAAGTAAAGAAGTGAAAACAGCAAGTGTGAGATTATGTGGTGCACAGGAAGAGGAGGCAGCTCATTCCAATAGAGCATGCAGTGGCTTGTTGAGGTGGAGCTGTGAATCTCGGCTGCAGGATACAATCTAGGATCTGCCTGGGTTTTGAAACTGGATGTAGCAATCAGACGGCATGCTGCTGTGGCTGGCAGTATTTTGAAAAACAGCTTTGACACAGACATGCATAACTGATGACAATGGCCTTGTGAATGTAGATACAAAACAACCAACACCGACCCCAGAATGCAGCAGGTGGTGACTGATTTCTCCTTCGTGGAAACTCACATTTATTGCAGTGGAGGCTGAGGCCTGTGTTCCAGGCACAGCAGTCTTACAGACTCATAGAATTGTTAAGATTGGAAGAAATCTCTAGGATTAAATAGGCAGTTTCCAGGTGTGATCTGTGGTGTGTTCTGATCCTGAAGTATGGACGTGGGGGTAAGATGTGCAAACTGGAGCCTTCTGTTACAAAGCAATGGAATCCTGCTGTGGTGCAGCATCAGAGCTAATGGCCTCCTGAAGTCACCCAGAGGTGTCTCGGCTTTGGACAGCAGCCGAGGCAGCCCTGTGCCAGTGGACAGGAGCAGAAGCGAGCGGCTGCGGGTGCCTGCGGTTGGATCAGGAGGGAGCAGGGCTGGCGATATCGCAGCCCCTCTGCTCTGTCAGCAGAGCTGAGGAGCGCCTGGCCACAGCTCCTGCTGAGCACAGACCCAGATCCGCTGGGTTCCAGATGGGTTCTAGCTGGGTTCCAGCTGGGTTCTCCTGGCCACAGCTCCCGCTGAGCACAGGCCCAGACCCGCCGGGTCCCAGATGGGTTCCAGCTGGGTTCTCCTCACCACAGCTCCTGCTGAGCACGGGCCCAGACCCGCTGGGTTCTCCTCACCACAGCTCCCGCTGAGCACGGGCCCAGACCCGCTGGGTTCTCCTCACCACAGCTCCCGCTGAGCACGGGCCCAGACCCGCTGGGTTCTCCTCACCACAGCTCCCGCTGAGCACAGGCCCAGACCCGCTGGGTTCTCCTCACCACAGCTCATGCTGAGCACAGGCCCAGACCCGCCGCGTCCCAGATAGGTTCCAGCTGGGTTCTCCTCACCACAGCTCATGCTGAGCACAGGCCCAGACCCGCTGGGTTCCATCTGGGTTCCATCTGGGTTCCAGCTGGGTTCTCCTCACCACAGCTCATGCTGAGCACAGGCCCAGACCCGCCGCGTCCCAGCGCGCCGCGGCCGCTTCCCCGCGGAGGGGCTGCGTGCCCGCGGCTGCGGTGCCCGCGGGCGGCTCGGGGTGTGCCGAGGAGGCACTTGCTGTCGGGCACGGCGGGGATGGTGTCGGTGAAACTCGGTGATCCGTGCCCAGCCGGCATCCCGCCGGGCCTGGGCTGGCTGGAGGGCCGTGCGGGGATTGCCGGCACCGCCGTGCTCCTGCTGCCAGGGCAGCGCACGGAGCTGTGAGTGCGGATTTCTCTTGGCGGGTGGGCCCTGGGCTGTGTCCTGTGCTCTTACCAGGAGGAGCTGCGGTAAGACATCGCTGTGCACATCGCACACACTGCGACAGGGGCTGTCTTTAACTGTGGGAGTGTTCTGCACACCAGCTCCAGACCAAACAGGGCTCAGCCGCCTCCTCCGCTCATGCAGGGATGTTGGGAGGAAGAATCTCATCAGGTGTACTGCGTCCAGACACCTCACAGGCGTTCGGTTACAGTAGTATCTGCTTCGTTCAATGCCCAGAGGGATAAAATAACTAAGGGGATGCTGCTCTTTTTTTAAAACTATTTCTCTTTTCTTAGAGTCTTTGTTCCAAGCACAGTCCAAGCCGCCTTTGAAATCAGCAATGTAACTGCATCCTCATGGATGGCACCATTTCTTTTCTTTTTCATACAGTCTCGTTCCGTTTCTCCCTTCCCGAAGGCGAGAGCCTCGGGGCGTTGGCAGCGCTGCGGTCTGAGGGAGAGCTGGGAAGCGGAGCCGTGCATGTCAGTCCCTCTCGCAAGGTCAGGCGGAGAATCGCTGGTGCTGCCAAGAACAGCACCCCGGGTCTCTTGGCTCTCTCGAGCCCACCCTCAACACTCCAGCCTCCTTTCCTTGATCAGCATGATCTGATTCATAATGCAGCAGCTCTGCTGTGAGGCTGGCTACCTCTGTGATCCTGCTGCGGCTGCAGAGGAAAGCAGCCAGGCTCAGGCAGCGACAGAGATTGCACATGCCTGTTAGCAAAAAGTCTAAATCCCAGAAATGGTATTTAGCAGCTTATCTTATCTACAGATAAGCTCATAAAATGTACTGACTGGTTAAAAATAGGTTTTAAAGTTTTTGGCAAACATCTCGGGCTTTTTATTCTTTGGTTTTTTGCTGCAGTACAAAAATACCATTTCAATTATTCTTATTAGCTTTTTCTGGACTTTTTGGAAAAGGACCAAATTATTGATGGGTGGTTTTAGCTTTTAATTGTGCCTCATGTGCTAAACTTATTCCTGCTATTTGTTTGCAATATGTTTAGGCTATGTTTAGGCAAATGCAAATGTAAGTGGTTATTCAGTGCCTTTGGCACTCTGAACAGAATGTACTGAACTCCTGGGGCTTGGTACAAAGCCTCACCCTCCAGCACTAACAAAGCCTGTGCAGGCAGCAGCTAAAATAGGAGAACTACCTAAGCTTGACAGAGGGGGTTCAGAAGATCTGGGAAGACCATGAGTCATGTGCCTAGCTTTCGTTCTATGGACTGGGTAAAGGAAATAAGGGCATTTTAGCCCATGTCCTGTTAGCTGAGGGTGCTCTGGAGGTCTGGGCACACTCAGGCTGTACTGCTGGAGCCTTTGCAATGTATAGTTCAGCAGCAAGGTCCCTCTGGATGTACTGGCAGTCAGTGTGCTCCTGAAGCATAATGGAGGCTTTCCTTGGCCAAACGCTACAGTGCTGGGAGCGGAGCGAGCCGGCACGCTGCCGCTGCCTGCTGCGCGGTCACTGGCAGCAGCTCGGCATTTCTACATTTGTTTGCCTGTTACCCAATCTATTTCAAGCTGTGATGGAATAAGGATGGCATTTGATTGCAGTACTGTGCACAACTGCTTGGCTTTTATAACCCGTGTTTTAAATGGGAGGTTTTTCTATGTGTGCTTTGTCTTCAAATAACTTCAGACTCGTAGGTTTAGGCTTGGTGCTCTCTGCTGGCCTTTGCTGTGGCCTGATGAGATAACTTACGGCTCTCGCTCCAGAGGGTGCTGGGTTACTGAGGTGAGAAGCCCTCAAAGGAAGAGGGTAGTGATGACTGTGGGGCACATAGACCAGAGCCTCCATCCTGGGTGTAGGTCTCATGATGGAAATAAGGATGTCTTTGTAACTCTATTTTTTTGTTGGCCTTTATTTATCATCTCCACAGTGTGTCAGTGTCTCCTGATCTTATGATCCAGAGGTGGCATACTTTGTAAAAACCAGATACTGTAAAGTATCTGGTGCTACAGGATAAATCTCTCCTGACATGGCAATGATCAGCTGATAATGCTGGGTCTAGCACTGTTTCCCTGTGTTCATGTGCCTCTAACAGTGGAATGAGTGGCCTCCATTTACCACATAACACCTAAAACTGGTGCTCTGTTGTACCCCAAGTCTGAGACTTGTGCAAGCAGCCTGTCATTCAAGTTTGGCCGCAGAGTTTTCAGTGGATTAGGTACATTGGTGGTTATAGTCTCATGTCACTTGTTTCAGTGCTGTGGGGAGTGAGGCAGCAGGCTTGCTGCTTCCTGCAAGTGAGTGCAGCCAGAAGATGGATGTTTGCCATCTGGGAGGAAAACCAGGGCTGGCATAGCAGGCAGTCAGTCAGTCATGAGAAAAGGTAAAAAAAGCACTTAATGGAGAGAGAGATGAAGCACAGAGATGCAGAGAGGCAGGGATCAGTAGTAGATGTCTTTTGTCTCCTTACATCATAACTTGAGAAACTCTGGAAAGCAAATGACCAAAGATGCTGCTTTAGGCTCTCTTTGGGTGCAAAAGAAAACCATGGGACATCCCTGCTTTACTCTGAGTGTTTTTCAAGGCCTATGTTGATAACTGATATTCATAAAACAAATATGCATTGGTTGTCATTTGAAATTAGATTTCTGCCCATATATTCTTTTGCTTTCCTGTTTTGATGGCCAACTTTTTTTCTAAAAAACTTCTGATTTTATATTTCCAAGCTGCACATACAAATACCAGATTTGGGGCAACTGTGTACCTCATTGATGCACACAAATATCTGATACCCGTGACACCCCAGGACTGGAGCCCTCTCTCAGCCTTGAAAGCCAGAGCCCAGGGGCTGCTGAGCCATTGTGCAGGCTGGTGCTGCATGCATGAGAGACAATCACCTTCTGCACAAAGTGAAATTTCAGCTGATGAAACCTCCACCTGTGTATACTGTAGGTTAGAGGGAAATCTGGAATGGCTGGTATGTTAGAATGAACTGAAGTTTGTGCTGTTGAGGCCCCAGGGATGGCTCATTACTGCAACTGCTATTTCCCCAGAAAACCTTCACTTGAAGTAGAGGCAAATTGTAGCAATTTGGCCCAATGCAAGTACATGATGCCCCAAAATCTTAACTGCAGTCACTAAAGAAAAGGCTGCTTGAGTCAGCTTTCAGTGAGAATTGTACAAAGAATTTGATCCTTTAAAAAATTAGCTAATTCATTGTCTAATTTTAGAGTACAGCTCCTCTACTACAGATACTATCTGAGGAATGGCTCAGAACCATTGAAGCCAAGGCTAACATCCTATCTCATCCTGGTTTTACTAAATCAGATTTAGGGCCAATAATATTCATACATGTACTTTATTGCTGTATCCTTTCTGTTGATTTTAGGGTTATGAACCTTTCTGCAGCAAGATTTGAAGCAGCCAGATTCCAGCTTAGATCCAAGTCCCTAGGACTCACTTGTGATTTCCGGTAAGGCTTCTTTATGGTATTCCTGATTCACATGTGAAGTCATAAGGTTTTATTGTGTTTGAAATGCCATAGGAATTTATTGCCGACCTTTCAAAAACTTGTTACATTTCAGTGTCTTTTGCTTGTGATTTTCAAAACAAACTGTGTTCTGTAAAAGCAATTCTTCACAAAGCTTTGGATGTGTTTTCCAGCACTTCCTGAGGGTGTCCGTGATCCAAGCTCTGGTTTGGTGTGAATGCATGAGAAGCTGAGAGACTGATTGCTTACTGCAGCCCACCTCCATTTTTCCTCTTGTGTTAAGGGCCATAAAGCAGAAAAGTAATTGAAAAATGGGAGCTGAAGACAGTGCTGTGTATGTTCCTGTGAAAGCTGGTTGCCCTTCTTATTCCTTGCCTCTTTACTCAGTTGTTATGTATTTGGATTGAAAGTGGAGGATTTTTGTCTGCCTGAGACAGGCTGGCTGCCAGCTGGTGGCCACCAGTGGCCCAAGGGCTCCTGGCCATGGACAGGCCATTTGTCCTGTGGTACTTGGAGCAGCTGGCTCTGGATGATCAGCTTGCTTTACTTAGAAGGCTGATACATCCATGGGCTGTGACATGATAAACTGAGCAGCTGATTGTTTTGGAGCCAGCAAAGCACAACAGACGATTGAGTTTGTTGCATTTTGAGCCTGTAGAAGGCAAAAGTAGCACTCTGGCATTCTTTATTTGTGTGGTCCCAAGATGGAGTACGGTGAGTTGCAAAGCATGGCGGGAGCAGACAATGCTTCTGCTGATAGCAGAGGTTGAAGTGTCTCCTGTCATGGAAAAGATGAACCAGCCAGTTCCACGTGAGCTTTCTTTTCTGAGACTTGTGAGGATTGTCAGTGTTGCTGCTATTTCAATACATGAGCTCCTGCCCTGTGTAGGATTTACACCATTGCTGTGCAGGGTCCAGTGTCACCTTCCTAGAAATGGATGAAGGGACAAGAGTGCATGAGCCTCCCAGTGCTCTCTCCTCCTGTCCCCTGCCCTTCACAATGTGCTGTGTTGGGAACTGCTTGAGCTACAGCAGGGGCAGGAGAGACCAAGGTGGCAGCAAAAGAGGAGAGCATAAAGGGACCAAGAGAGAGGAGATGCATGAGCCACAGGTAGAGAAGGCCAGGATGCCATCCTTTATTTTGGCCATGGTCAGCCTGTGCTGAGGAAAGAGCAGGCCTCCAGAGGTGTTCCCTGTTATGCCTGGCCACAGTAACCCATAGTTTGAGCAAGGAAAAAGCCATCCCTTCCTCCTGATGGGTGGAAGAACCTGTCCAGTTCTGAAGATATCCATCCCAGGTGTGTCCCCTGCAGTCAGTGCTGCAGGAGTCAAACTCCTTCTCTGGCAAACTCAAAGGAGTGTTATCAAAAGGTCAACAACAAGCTCACCTGATGCAGCTCTGGGCTTTTGGAAGCTCATGCTCCCAGTCAGACATGATGTAAAAGCCTTATTCTACAGGCAGATGATGCAGTACCAGTAAGTGAAGTCTCTGAAGGGATGGAATTGTTGGCTAAATTCTACTGCTGGAGGCCTTGCACACATGGAAGACAGCAGCTATATTTGCTGGGAAAACCAATAGGTGCAGGACCATCCCTCTGACCAGGAAGCACTGAACATTAAATAGCAGAACCTGCAGGTTCTTTCTGAGTTTTTATTTTCTTGCTACAACTGCAGGCAAAGAGAACTAGATTTTTCTGGAGCATACCCCTACAGTGAAGAGCCCTGCGTGCATTTGTCATTGCTATGAACAATTAATATCAGGGTTGACTGAACAGCAGCTTGTGTGGATGCACCACTTGGAGAACAAGATAGCGATTGAGCCTAAGACCTTTTTTTTCACAGGTGTTCTGAATGGGGCAGCTGGGACAGAAATCTACTTTGGTGAATCTGAGACACTTGGGTCTCTTTTATTGTCAAAGAGGGAATATGGCCTAATTAACCCTGCTGTTGTCATTGTCAACACCCATGGTACATCTCCTGAGCCAACCACTAGCCCTTGCAGTGGATGTTAGTGGGTACAGAACTAAACTGCTGAGAAACTTCTTGGAGTTTCCTTTCCTTTTGCTTCCTTGGGAGCAGGATCTTCTCACAGCCACCCTTAGCCAGCATGAACTGCTCTTCTGTCGAGTGGTGGATCCTTAACAGGCATGGTTGGTCTGTTCCCACTTCATTTCAACTGTGCTATCTAGCTTATCCAGTGATACAGCTTTCTACAGCTTGGTACCTCTCAAGTACGAGGCAGGTACTTCAGGAAGAGAAGCAGTGATTCAGTGCTAAAGCTGCCCGTTCTTTATACTCAGGCTTGTTCCTGTGTGTGTTTGGACACTCATGCATATCTCCTCTCCAGCATTTTACATCCCTCTTCTCTTTAGTGCTTTATCTCCCTTCTGCTCTTTAGTGCTCGTTATCTCTTGTCAGCTCTCTGCTCCAGAGGAGAGGGCACTGTTTGAGGGCAGTGCTGTGGATCAGCCTCATCTGCATCTCCAGGAGCGCTGGGCGTGTGGTGATGGATGTTTCATGAGAGTCTGCTTCTCCTCCCACAGCTGTACCATACATCTATGTTCTTGCTGCTGCCTCCTGTAGCACATTCCATGTGCTTTGGTCTTCCCATCCCTGCCTGGGCTCTCTTCAGCAGGGAGCTGCTGGTGAGTAACCTGTTTGCTGTCTGGCTGCATCCACTGTCCCGATTCTGTTTTCTCTGTCATTCATTGATGGGTGAATACCTTGTGCAAGTTCCATACCCACCTGTCTGGAAATTGTTCTCTGTGTCTGGTTGTGAGTGAAATCGGCATTTTTGGTTCATCTTCCACTTCCTGGCTCTGATTCTCCTCCCATTCCTGAGCAGCATACATGGCTCTGCTGCACACATGAAAATTGTGCTGGGGCCAGGCTGGAGTGAGCCAGGAACATCCAGCCCCCAGTGCTTTACACTTCTCACAGGGACCTGAGGGAACCAGTGAAAGTGGCTGGTGTCCTGCATGTGCAAATGCAGGTGTGTGACAAATGAGCCTGTTGCCCATTTTTTGGTGAAGTGAGTAAAGCAGGTATATGCAGACGGGCCGGGTTCTACTGAGGGGCCCTCTTTTGTGCATGTAGCTGCTCCAATTTGTCCCCAGTGCCACATTACTGCCTGTGGGCCTCTGCCCTCGTCCTGTAGTGAGAGAAGATGAGCAGCTGGCAGGAAGGTAGCAAGAATGTGCTACTTAAACATAGGTTGCTAGTGGCTGTGTTCCCAGTCTCCAGATGTGTGGCTGCTCTGGGACACTGGGGCCTCCCTCTGTGCTATGGCAGACGATTCCATTATTAGCTTAGTGGCAGCTTTCCATATGCCAACACTCATGACTGCAGGACTGTTTAATTTTCACTACTCTGAAGTATTTAATTTGTCAGTTGTTAGCTTCTGCTTTGTTAAAGATCAAATGCCAGTGTCCTTACTTAGATTTTTACTCAGTTAGAGGTGGAGCATGGATCCTGTATGAACAGACCATTAGATCTAGTCAGGATCAGGGGCAGGATCAGAGGCAGCATAAGGTCTTGAATTCAGAAAGTCAGTCACTTCTAGGCTAATCAGTAGAAACCTCTTGTATTCAAGGATGGGTGTCTAATCCCCCTTCTTCTGTTAATTTTTATTTGGAGAAATGAAAAATCAGTACTGCTAAAACCACTGCCCACTCACATTTTAAAGCTGGACTGTGCAGATGAGGTGTGCCTGACTAAAGGTTTTGGCCCCTCTCTGGTGTGGAGAGCTGCTGCTGTGAGCAGATCATCCTGCAGTTCACTGCTGGGGGCCTCTCTTTAATTATTGAGTGCCAGAATAGATGTATATTGAGTTACCTTGCTGGCAAATATAATCTCCAGCATCTTGTGTAACTGCAATATTCTCAGTTTTCCTACCTGCATAACATGGTCTTGAAAGAATCTAAAAGAAGACAGAATATGGTTTTATATATTGCTTGTCTAGCAGTACATGTTTCCAGAGAACAACAGGTTATACACTCGCTTTGAGGATAGCCTTCCCTGGCAGCATGGGTTGCTCTTATATACAGTCAAGCCTGCACTTGGATGTGCAGTAGAATGAAGCAGGATGTGCATAGTGCACTTTTAAACCGACCAATCAAACGAAAAAACCAAGCTTCAAAAAATTCAGAAAAAAGAGAGAGCAGCCTAAGCCAGCACAGCTTTATGAGAGAAAAGTCCTGCTTATCAAACCTGATTTCCTTTTATTACAAAGTAACCCACCTAGTTGATCAAGGGGAGCTGCTTGATGTAATCTTTTGAGATTTCAGTAAAGCTTTCAATACTGTCTCTCATAATATCCTTCTGGACAAACTGTCCATCTCACATCTGGATAAACTTGTCATGGGATGGGTGAGCAGCTGGCTCCCGGGTTAGATGCAAAGGGTGGTGTGAGTCTGGCACCAGTCCCTTAGTGGAGTGCAGGGCTCCACCCTTGGCCCTGTGTTCTTCAACATCTTCCTAAATTACTTGGATTCAGGACTGGGTGGGATACTAAGCAAGTTTGCAGATTATACAAAACTGAAAGGAGTTGTTGAATCCCTGGAAGTCAGGGAGGCCTGCAGAGAGACCTCAGCAAAACAGAGGACTGGGCAATCACCAAGCCCGTGAAATTCAGCGAGGGCCACTGCTGGATTCTGCACCTGGAATGGGGTAAGCCTGGATCTACAGGCTGTCTGGGGAATGAGATGCTGGAAAGCAGTGCCTGGAAAGGGTCCTGGAGCCCTTGTTAACAGAAGGTTGAACCTGAGCCAGCAGTGCCCTGGCAGCCAGGAGGGCCAACCATGTCTGGGGGGCATCAGGCACAGCGTTGCCAGCCGGGCAAGGGAAGGGATTGTCCTGCTCTGCTCTGCACTGGGGCGGCCTCACCTCGAGCCCTGGGAACAGTCTTGGCCACCACAATATGAGAAAGGCTGTTAGAGAGTGTCAAAAGGAGGGCAATGAAGATGTGAAGGGCTGTGTGGGGA